TAACCACTGTTTTCAACTACTTCCTGCTTCTGTTCTCTCAGTTTGGTTGACCTATTTCTCTTCTGATCAGACTAACTTCCCAGCAGCAGAGCCTACTTTTGGATGACCATACAGGTTGATGCAGGTGCCTACAGAATATGGGTGAATAGAACCAGAAAGGCCATTGGCTTCTTTACGAGTCAGAGAACACAATTCATTTAATTCTTTCAAGCTTCACTTTCCTCGTCTGTAAAACAAGAAAAAAAAATGTTTCATTGTAAAACAAGGAAAATAAAATCACAAGAATGGTATGATGATAATTAAATGATCTTTGCAAAATAAAATGTTGGTAGCTTCAGGGCTGGAGTTTCTGGTGAAGTTCGGGGAGAGCAAGATTCTCACTGATTGTCTGGCCTGGGCTCTGGGTTGGCTATCTTTGTGCAGGTATCATACACAGAAGATGATCAGCCAGTTTGGTCCTATACTGCTTCCTGGCTGTCACTGACAGCCTCACATGCTTGCTTAACTCCTAAGCAGGAAGCATACCCCTCACACAGCATTCACCACTCATAAAGGACAGATCCATGATGGAAGACACTTTAGTGTTTAGAATTCTCTCAGTCACAGATACCACGTGGCTGAAATGCCGATCACGAGAGAAAAAATTATAAATAGAATGGCAGAAAAATGAAACTACTATTTAAATTTCTTCTACACAAACCAGGTTCCAAGAATCCCACTAAATTAAAGTAATTCTCTAAGGCCAGTATCATCACAGGCCAGTGCTCTGAGGCTTCAAGAAGTATGTTTAGCTTTTCCAGGGTCCTACAATTGGTAAGTGGTAGGAAAAAGATTTAAACATGATAAGCTGGACTTCAAATCCTTGACACGTTTTGTTGTCAGTGTTGTAGAACTGTACTGTGTCTCTCCAAGTTTCAACATCTGTATTAGCTCTGGTACTTGATCAGGAGTGAGAAGAATTAGGACTGCATGTGAAATTTAAAGCTAACCTAACAGAGACAATAGTTTCAATTGTGTCATTTAGAGAGGGGGAAAAAAGAAGATGGTACTTTAAATAGTTTAAGAAATAACTATCTTTTAAAAATTTTTAACAAATCTTTTTTGCTTTAATTTATTTACTTTTATTTTATTTGCATTGGTGTTTTGCCATGGGTGTTCAGACTCCTGGAACTGGAGTTACAGACAGTTGTGAGCTGCCATGTGGGTGCTGGGAATTGAACCTGGGTACTCTGAAAGAATAATCAGTGCTCTTAACCACAGAGCCATTTTTCCAGCCCAGAAATAAACATTTTTGTCTTTCATAAAGTTTCATGATTAGAATAAACCTTAAGATAAAGGGTTTATTACATCATCAAGAAAAAATGGAATAATTAGGCCAGGAAAAGAGATGGCAAGCCTCTTATTTGACAGAAAGGACTAGATCAGTGTTTCTCAACCTATGGGTCAGAACCCCTCTGGAGGTCAGAAGACCCTTTCACAGAGGTCACCTAAGACCATCAGAAAACACAGATATTTACATTATGATTCATAACAGTAGTAAAATTACAGCTATGAAGTAGCAATGAAAATAATTTTATAGTTGGGGTCACCACAACATGAGGAACTGCATTAAAGGGTCACAGCATTAGGAAGGTTGAGAACCACTGGACTAGAATTAGAAAGTAAGATCTTTCTGATGCCCAGTAGAGTTTCTTCTCAACAGTTTCTACTGCAATACATTCAACTGTTACTTCCCTCAGCCGGAAGGAGTTACAGCCTACCTACCACTGTACCAATACCCAGGATCCTCACAGGACTCTACAGGGGCCAGGAAGGGTGCATGAGAACCAAACTAGGTCTAATTAGGTCCCAAGTAGAGACCCACAATGATTTCTCAGTATATCCTAGAGCAAACAGAAGTATGGGATTGGATGGAGTTTGGGGGGCTGAATAATTTGTTTCATTCTCTGGGGATAATGGCAGGAAAAGGAAGTGACTGAAAAGTCAGACTGCAGTCTCTGCAAGTGTCCTAGAAAGTCGAAGCTACTCTGTCACATTAACACGGAGCTGTGAGGATCCATGTCAGCATCAGCTGTTACCTCTCCTGACCTCCTGTAGTGTACATCTTGTTACCCTACAATACTTCATGTTGATAGACATAGGCAACTCCAGATGCTCCAAGATGGGAGAACTTAATTTATAGTTGGCCTTCATGAAGATCAGAGAATCACTGAGGCCAAATGGAAAATCTTGGCTGTTCAGGCCTATAAAAAATTCAAATGGCACCTTTCCTCTTATCTAATTATTCTTCTTACAGAGTTGCACTTCAACCTAAATCAAACAAACCTTAAATGTAAGGACATGATTAAAATTCCATATTGCAAGACTAGATCTGAATGACTTTGCTCAAGAGCTGCATCTGTCCCAGTACATTCCTTCTGACTCATGGATGTCTGAACTCCTAACTCAGCCTGCCTCCCTGAGACATGGTACCCCAGACTAAGGAAAAGGACCACAGAAATGGCTGCATTGTGAAAGAGTGGTCAGCCCCAATCAGCCTGTCCTTGATATCCCATGTCTCTCTATCCTGCAATGCTCTCATTAGTTCTTACCTGGAGCACCTTATCAGGTCACTGAAATTATTCAAAACCTTTGCATTGCCAAGAGTTAGGGGCATAGCAGTGAACAGATGGATTCCATATGCTCTCCATCCACCTGAGGGTTACAATGGTCAGAGAAAGCAAACACAATAGAAACCTTCATGGGAACTGGCATAATAACATGTCGTGTACAATGTAGATAGATCTATACTGGGAAGGGTGTAAATGGTAAAAGCCTTCTGATTAGAGGAAAAGGCCTTCCAAGGAAGCACATGGACAGCCAGGACCTAATGACAAGCTACACGGCTGCACAGAACACACTAGGCAGAGGAAGGGCACCATCAACACCAATGAGGCCAGCAAATGTTTTCTTTCCAGGTCCAAACCAAATATAGTTTTGGTTTTGTAGGCCAGATAGTTTCTGTCTTGGCTGTTCAGGTGTAACCAACTAAACAGTTGCCACAGACAATACAACAATGAGTGGCTGTGGCTGTGTTCCAGTAAAGCTTTAGTCACAGCCACTAAGCTTCCCTTAATTTTCACGTGCCACAAAATATTCTTTTGGATATTCCTCAACATTTGTAGGTGTGAAACCGTTTCCTAGCTCCCAATCTCTCCATTAACAAGTCAAATGGGCAAGCATCTGAAAGGAGAGCACAATCTGCCATTCCCCAGCCAAGACTGAAGTGCAAAGAGCCAGCTGTGTTTGAAGAACTCTGACTGGATCCCTGTGTATGAATTAATATGAAATATGAGCAAGGACATAAATGGCATCACATACTATCTTCTGGGCCAGGGTACATGTGGGTATTATTTATCTTAGTAGCAAAGCCACTAGAGGCTTCCATGGTGGGTAAGAAAGCTCTGTTCGAGGCCAGCCTGATCCACAGAGCGAGTGCCAGGATAGGCTCCAAAGCTGCACAGAGAAACCCTGTCTCGAAAAACAAAACAAAACAAAACAAAAATCCTGGTTAAATCATGTGCTTGGAAAAGTAGATGTCCTTCTATGTCTCAGTGTCACACGCTAACAACAGGCAGAACTTATTAGGACTAAGCTAACAGTGAGTGGCAGTGCCAGCAGTTCTGTTTTCTGATGTGTGTTTCAGCTCATGTGGGTTAAGTCTTAAAACTGAACTGATACAACTCACTCAATGCATAGAAGAAAAAAGAGAAGTCCTGGGATAAGAATGACTTTACCAAAAGCATACAATTGTTGGGGGCAGAGGCACAATCAGATTCTCAAAATACCCTTGACTCCCGAGAGAGACTGTTTTCAAACTCAGGAACCACACACGGCTTTCTGCAGATTTAAATTGACAAGACAGACAGCAAGCCAGACCTGCTTTGATAAATATGGCCCTCCTGCTGCCTGGATGCCTATTCCATGTTCACAAAGCTGGGGCACCTTCACAAATTCCCTTACTTTACTCTACCCATCTCTATATACAATCTGAATAACTGATGACTCATCCCACCTGGAACTCCAGAGGCAGTAATGAATCACACCAACTCTTGCTCATTTGATGGATTTTCTGTGCAGCAGACCACCTAGGGGTTTTAAGTCCAAGGTTCCCAGAGGAGGTGAACTTTCTCACCCATCCATCTCTGATGGGAGCCATTAAGCTGACATCACCATTTTCCACACTTCATAAAGGAGTGCTAACATCTGGAAATGGAAACCACCTGCCAGAGATTTGACCAAGATCACCATATCACTCAATGGCAGGGAAACTCAAGGGCAGGTAAAATGAGAAAGCGATATCTCTAATGTCAACAAGGCCAAAGATGAATAACATGGGGCTAAGAGTATGTAGACAAAGAAGACTCTGGTCAGAAGAACTGGATTTAAATCCCAGCCCTGCTACTTTCTAATTGGAATGGCAATTAACCTCTCCGAACTCCAACAGAACACAGTATATTAAGAGAATTGGTTTTGGAGTCAAGTGGTCTCAGGTTCAAATCCTTGCTCTCTTGCATACTTATTGTGTCACTTGTGGTGATATGGTTCCTCTTAATGGACTTAAGTTTTCCAGCCTACAAAAAGAGATATTACACTATAAGAAAAGAAAAATCACTTGGATGTGATAATGCATGCCTGTAATCCCAGCACTCAGAAAGTGGAGGCAGGATCTTGACCTTTGAGATGAAATTGGGCTACACAGAAAAGCTCTGTCTCAAAACTAGGAAAACAGTCTTGCATAGGGTGATAGGGTTCAAGGAGATGCTATGTAGGATACCACAGTGCCTGACACCTGCGTATGAAAAAGAAAGATGAACTGCAGCCTGAACAAGAAGATGGGCTCAGCCTCTCCTGACTGTCCAGGGAAAATCAAACACTGCAGACTTGACAGGGCACTCTTAGTCCACAATGGAGGAGCCCCTCTATGACCGTTAGTGCCCCTCCCTCATCAACCCACTCACCTCCTTCAGCCAGAGGAGCTTTGGGGCCTGCATCTCCACAGACATCACACCACCTACATACTGAAGGACATCATGCTTGGTCTTGTTGATCCTGTGAACCTGGCTGACTGCTCGATGGTCCAGCCACATGATAATGTTTCGATAGGAATCCCCTAGAAGACACGAGAGACACATGCATAGACATGTTGTATTTTCTTTCCACTTCAAAGGAACAATGATGGATCCTAGGCAAAGCACAACACAATTTCAACAGTGATTCATGTGTCAAGAAGGAACACAGTGGGAGTGGAGGATGTGGTTTGGTGGGTAAAGGCACTGGCCACCAAGCCTGACAACCTGAGTTTGACCCCCAGAACCCACACAGTAGATGAAACAAATCAACTCCTGCAAGTGTCTTCTGACCTCCACACATATGTCACAAGACCCCCCACACACACATATAAACACTAAATAAATAAGCAAATGCAAAATGAATTAATAAATTTAATTTAAAATGGAAGTACACAGCAAGGCTGTGAGGACCCTGCTCTCCAAGCCTTTCGTTGTCATTCCAGCAGTGTCTTCCTTGACCACACCCCAGGGTTAGAAGTCTTCCATATGCACAAACTCACATTCATGGACATACCACAATGCTAAATAATATTTTTAACTGAACATTACACCTGGTTGAGATCTGTCAGTCAATTGCATTACCATTCATTCTCATGCAACTTCTGCCCTTCCTTTCCCAGCCCTCTTGTTGAGAAAGGAGTCTATGAAATAGGGCTAAGGGGATACTTTGTCCTAGTCATGGATACCCTTACATATGGACAAATACTTTACAACTACACAAGGACAATTATATCCTTCTCCTTAGTTGTTTATTTTTCCAGTCAACTGAATTAAAATGAGCTCATGTCTGTGTATTTTTCTCATTCTGTTGCTTGGCTTGGAAGAGTGGAATGCACATGAGTTCTGAATCGGAGTGCTGACTCAGGTTGCAGGAGGAGATATAGTCTATTCATTTAGCCCCCTGGCTTCAGGGTCCACATCTTTTATAATCGGATACCAACACCTTACCTAAGAGCACAGAGAGACTGACTGAAATCCATCATGTGTTAACTAGGAGACAATGCACAGCAAGGCACACCTAGTGCCTTGTTCCTGGCTGGTCCAGGGGAAAGTCACGAGGAGCAACTATAAGCCAGTTAGAAAAGGAGTCTATATCCTTCTGACTCTAACTCTCCCTGATGTACACCAGGGTAGCTAGCTGTCTCTTCCTTTCTTCCTGGCTTCTATGAATTCATGACACAATGTATAAATGGGCAAGCCTTCTTCCTTTAACCATCTCTGATGTCTCCTGCTCTACTTTGCTTTCTGGTGCTGTGATAAACACCGTGTCCAAAAGCAACCTGGGGAAGGAAAGGATTTGCTTGGCTTACATGTCCTGATCACCGTCAATCACTCAGGTAAGTCAGGGCAAGACTCAAAAGGAGCAGGCGCAGGAACGATCTCCAAGACTTGCTGCTCATCTACCTTTCTCATACCTTCCAATTCACCTGCCCAGCAGTGGTACTGCCCATAGTGAGCCAGGCTCTCCCACATCAATCAACAATCAGGAAAATGGCATGCAGACATGCCTACAGGCCAATCTGGTGGAGGTATTGCCTCAGTTGAGGTTCCCACTTCCCAAGAGACTATAGATTGTGTCAAGTTGACAAAAACTAAGATGCATGCCTCCCAGGGTTCAATGTGGAGAAATCAGCATGAACACCCAGGATATATATTATCAGTGCAATACTACTGAGTCCCAGCCATGATATGTGCCCATCATTCTCACATATTAATTGAGTAGTGAAGTGACTATAGAACTTCTTATCTTGCTAGTGACAGGTATTTAATGTGCCTATGTATCACCTACTGTGCTAGTCATTTCACACACACCATCTCATTAAATCAGCAGAACAACCCTCCAGATCATTATTCTGATTTTGCAATGGTAACTAAGACTCTATATTTGAAGATATTTCCAGAGGGCAGTCGGAAATCCATGAGGTATGCTGTGAAACCAGACCTGTGTGGAGAACAAGTAAACTGAGAAAGGCAACGCACAAGAATCAATGTGCTAGTGGGGAGATTTTAAATCCCAATACATCGTGTGCTCACTGCAGACGTGGATACATAAAGTCGTGGCACAGAGACACCTGTTTATGTGCAATTAGAATGGGTATGTCGGGAAGCCCTGAATTGCAAACAGTATTTTTTTTCTTTTTTTAAAAAAGGACCTCTACCTTCAAATATGACTAATTTTCTTCTTTACCCTATGAAGTGAGTCTCAAAAAGTCTATTGTGTTATCATTTTATTTTTCTGTATCTTGAAAATAACTTTTAGTTAAAATAGCCAACCTAAGAAGATAGCTAAAGAAATTACAAAGTAAAGATCATTCACTGGTTTCTCTGACTAGGAAAATTTGAAGTCTCACATAGCCTTGAAAAAATACAAATGAAACAAAGATCTAGCACCAGAACGTTAGAAAGCATTTTTCATGAGAAGCAAAATGGTTCTCTGGCATAACAGAACTAATTCAGGGTCTGATTCTCAGACCAAGATACACATGTTGCCTGTATGATATTCACGTCCTACCAGGAACCACTGATGCTTGCACAGGTGCACAGGCCTGCTGGGTGTTGTTTAAATGTGTGGTGGGTAGACGGCTATAAGATAGAAAAGCCTGCTGTCAAATGTCCAACTGTGGTAACAAGAAGCAGCAGCTGCTGCCAGTGAACTGGCTACAACAGTCAGAACTATGCACTAAAAATTGAATATTCATTGCAATTCATTTTTCATTGTAGACAAAAACTGGAGGGTTAATCTTTTTGCAGTTCTCCTAGAAAGTCACACATAAAGGGTCCAATTGAAAGTCTGTTTAGTCTTTTGTTGCTTCTACAGGCCAGGTACAGCAGAGGTGCTGGTGCTCTGTTCCTTTCACAAAAAAGCCATGGGAACACAGAAGAGCTGCTTAGAGGAGTCTCGCCTGAGCTGAGTCTAGGGCTGCACACACAGACAAGCCTTATTTAATTCTGAAAATGCCTGGTCACTGCTCAACCACAGTAAGGGAAAGAGAAGGAAGGGACATAGCAGGAACAGCATGGAGAGCAAATCACACACCCAGACACATAACATATTTTAAGGGAATTTGAGGCAGTTCCAGAAGATAGGACTAGAGCAGGAAATTCATCCTTACTCACTACTCATGCATTTAAAAATGTGAACACTCACTCAAGATGTATTGTATTCCCAGCATACAGCAAAATAATAATAATAATAATAATAATAATAATAATAATAATAATAATAATAACACAATATGAATAAAACCATCTAAATATTAATTATTGTTGCACACAGCAACCTATGTCCAAACTCCCTTCACCACCTACAATTATCACCACTGGGTACTCCCTCTCCAAAACATCACTAAGAGAGCAGTCAGAACTAGGCTTGAGTACACAGCTAGGTGTCTGCAGGGGGAGAAAGAACAAGTACCTGGCTGACCTTCCAAGTAAGAAGGACGTTTTTAAAAGGCAAATGGTGGGCCTAAATTTCCCACAGTAATGCTTACTGTTCTTAAACAGTTCTCCTTAATCTGTGTTGGTTTTTCGTCTTTGCTTAACATCTAAAGACAGCCACACTTTTGCCACTCTTGCGGGTTTGGTTTTAATGATTTTCAGAGTTATCTGCCTGATATGCACTTGGTCCAGCCACAACTTGGTCTCCACCCTGAAGGTAGAAAAAGGTTTTCAAAAGAAACTTTAAAAGCACCTTTAAAATTCTAATTTCATTTTCAAGAACATTATAATCCACCTCAGATAAAAATCCACCCTTAACATAATCTGTAGAAAGTCAAGAAGGTGTTGGGGGGTCGAGTCAGCTGGATGCAGTTGAAGAATGGGCATATTTTAATATTTTAGGAAGAATGGCATTATTCCACTTCACAGAGTTGCCACTGAGCTCTGCTTTGAATGAAGTACTTTTAACACGTCTATCCACAGTGGGGATCAGGATGGTGAGCAGAGGAGGGATGCACACAGTGGGGAGCAGGATGGTGAGCAGAGGGGTGCACACAGTTGGGAGCAGGATGCTGAGCAGAGAGACAGATACACTCCTCAGCAGCTTTACGAAGGAGGCAAGGTCTTCCACGGCTAATGTCTCTTGTAATATTTTTACTGTCCATTCACCTGTACCCAGAAAATCTGCACTGCCAGAAATACCTTGGAAACTAAGGTTGATAAAACATGTGATGGTCAGTGTTAATTATCAACTTGAGAAATTCAGAATTCCTGGGGGATGGGTCTCTGAGCTTGTCAGTGAGGGCTTTTCTTCATTGGGTTAGTTATCCTGGGAAGATCCACCCTGAATGTGGGCAAGACCATCGTCTCAAGGGGCAGGCCCTGAAGGGAATGAGAGGGGCAGAGGGAGAGAAGCAGCTTATACACATGCTTGCTGCTCTTGTCTTCTGACTGCAGATATACAGTGATCAGCTGCTTCAAGTTCCTGTGGCTGTGACTTCCCTGCCTCTATGTAATGTGAGCTGCAAGCTAAACCTTCTCCCCTTAGATGACTTCTACTGGAATATTTCATTGTCAAAACAAAACAAACCTAACGTTCCACTCAAGCCAAGCACATATGCATTTTGGGAGATAAGCCTCATGAATATTAGCTTGTGAAAAGATGTCCAGTTGACAACAATGCCCCAACCAGAATTACAAAGAAAATGTAATTTTTAGTAGGCCAGATAGTATGGACTCCTTGAAATTTAGGATTCTTGGCATTTAAAATCCTAAACATCACACTACCTTCTGCAGCAGCCTGAAGAGGAAGGGACAAGAGCAGTCCTACCTTCATGGTTTACTGGTAAAGGATGAAACTGTTTGTCCAAGACAACCAAAGAACACGTGGCATCAAACCCAAGTCCTCGGATTCGGTGTACATCAATTCCTTGAACAATTTTCTGTTTTAAAAGCAAGCAAAAAAATATAAAGACCTTGAAGGCAAGTTACTACTATAAGGAAATGAAAGCAAAACTTTTTAAATTACCTAAAACATGTCATAAAAAGTTTAGTATCACTATTCATTTAAAACAGTTCTCCTGTTAGACCCCCGGAAAACTCAGGTATCCGGGGTCCCAGGCCACGACCGTGGTCACCCCAATCACCAGGAGGACTCGAGAGCTTGATGCAAATTGCATGAGGCTTTATTGTAATTTAACAAGCTAACCCCATGTTAGCTCGGGTCTTTCACCCACCTGCCATGAAGAATGGCTAGCAAAAGACGGCTCCTAGGGCCTCCCAAGAGATTTTACAGAACAGCGTAAGGGGAGTGTCTAGGGGTATGCACAGGCTTACGATTGGTGTGCCTCCAGCCTTGGAGGGATTGCCCTGTGTTGATTGGTCAACTGGTTGTTATGGCCCATAGGCCCTCCCAGGGTGGTTGCTATGCTCTGCATCATTGCTGTGTACTTGTCCGTAAAGTACACCCAGGGTCGTAAAGCATAGCGCCACCAGCTAACTTCTGATTGGTTCCTTGTCATGAGGCAGGCATCTGACTTTCTAGTGACTAAGACAAGGTCATAGAGCATGTGTTCGGCCCTTATGGCTGCCAAAAGGGAAGCTGGTCCCTTCACTCCAAAAGTCAGAGTGGGGCTTCCAGCAGCAGAACCCCCACAGCTGTCATCCTAAATGAGATATGCTGACAGGGAAATTATTCCTGAAACAAGTCAAAGTCCCCAGGTTTCCATCACAGAAACCTTATAGTTGGGAAAAGAGAAATGGCTGAAGGGTTAAGAGCACTGGCTGCTCACTGAGATCAGTTCCCAGCACCCACATGGTGACTCATAATCATCTGTAACTCCAATCCCAAGGGACTTGACTCACTCTTCTGACCTCTGCAGGCACCAGGGATGCACATGGTACATTGAGGAAGAACACCCATACACATAAAATACACTTTTAGAAATTCTTCTTTAGAAAACGTTATAGTTGGGTTCAAGATGTAGCTCAGTGGTAGAGTGCCTGCACCACATGCACAAGGGCCTGAATTCAATTCCCAATACTGAAAAACCAAAAGAGAAGTTTTATGATGAAGCCAACTGAGACCTTTAATCCATGATATCATAAAAATTCTGAAATTTTAAAACAATCATTCATTTTCTAAAAAAAATTTAATATCACTGAAATATTAAAGAACCTATAAATTAATAAGAAAAAGACAAGCAATCTAACTGAAAATAATATAAAGCAAAGGTCAAAGTGTATGAAGTTTCCAATTGTACTACAATTAAGCAATGAGAATAAAATAGGAATTTTTCTTCTTATATTTGTGAAAATGTTAAAGGTTAGTTGTATAGAGTAGTGGCTCCACTCCTCTTAAAGCATCTATGAACAGATAATGGTTAATTAAATTCATTTAGTCACCAAAAAAGAAGGAGGGGGAGAAAAAAGGAACAGAAGAGCATAGGACAGTAGAAGAGGGAGTAGTTGGAAAGAGGGAAGGGGGTCCGCAAAAGTGGTACGGAGTGATAAGATCAAAACATATTACATACGTGTGTGAAAACGTCACAATACACCCATTGTTGTCCATAATGAACATACATCAATAAGAATTAAAAAGAAATTTAGAAGTAACCCTACTTGAATATTGTTATAGCAAAGTAATTACTGGGTACAAATTTGTAAAGTAATTTGACAGTGCCTTAAAATATACTTAGAACTATTGGCCCAGCAATATCACTTTTGGAAACATATCTTAGAAAATTATGACCTTAAGTAAATAAAGTCATATATAATATGGCTACTTGCTAACAATAGATTTAAAAACCCAATAAATTATGTTTTATCAAATAAATCATGCTGTATTTATACAGTAGAATACAGAAGCTAAAAAGAGACACAAAGAAGAAATTTCTAGGCATAGTGCTATGACAGGATCAACAAATATTCCTAAGAAAACAAATACTGAATAAATTCATCAATAAAAACCATTTGATGGCTATGGAAATTGATCAAAGCTACATAATAAATTGAGAAGCGTGTTCTTTGAAAAATAAAATTTAAGCTTAAAACATAGAAAATTAAATTTTGACTCCAGGTCTAAGTAGTTTGTCTGGAGAAATTTACAGAACATTTAAGGAGGAACCGTTACCAATGTCAGACATATAGAACAGAACAAAGAGGAGAGCATTTTCCACCAAATCCTACATAGTGGGCATTGCATTAATATCAATTGGAAAGACATTAGGAAGGGCACTACAGAAAAGTGTTTGTCAAATCATAGTCATAAAAATAGTCTTCAAAATACAAGCAAACCAAATCCTACAGTACACAAAACTAATATCCTTGTGTAATTTGGATACCCCAGAATTTGCAAGGGTGGCTTAACAATCATTAATTAATGTAAGACATATCTTAACAGAATACAGCACAAACATAAAATTATAACCTCAAATACTCCAAAACACTCCTTCAAAACAAAAAACAATAAACAAATGGAAAACTAAAAGCAGAATGGAAGTTACAGAAACAAAAACAAAGTATCAGAAAAACTCAGAGCTAACATCATAACTAATCGTAAGATTCATTACTGCTCCCAATAGATGCACAGAAAGGACATTTCTACCCAACCTGGGCTAGCATCCAGGGCCAATGAAATAAAAGAAGAAAAATAAATTAAAGGAATAAAAATTAGAAGGAGAAAACTAAAAGTATTTCTTTGCCAATGATATGACTTCACATGCTGAAAATGCAAAAATACGATTTAAAAAAAAACCTGAAAAATTACTACAGGGGCCAGGGAGATGGGGTAAGAGCAATTTCTGCTCTTGTAGAGGACCTGGGTTCGGTTCCAAACATCTAAATTGATGTGACTCACAACTGCGTGTAACTCCAACTCCAGGAAGATTTGATGCCTCTGGCTTCCAAGGGCACATGCACTCATGTGAACCACACACACACACACACACACACACACACACACACACTTAAAAATAAAACTTTTAAAAAGCTATTAGAACTAATAAGCAAATATAATAAGATTATGAATAAAATAACAAATAAAAACCAATCGCATTTCTACATGGTGGCAACTAACATATCAAAAATAAAATCAAGAAAATAATCCCTTAATAACAACATAAAAATATTCAAGATCAAGATTGAAGGGCTGATTTATATCAAACTCCCCCAAGACTCAGAACATCTCAGAAGACAGAGCAGAAAGAATGTAAGATGGGAGTAAGTGCTGTAGGATGCTGTCCTTGGATATGACATGACTATTACATTCATGAAGTTATAGCAGTTTTGGTTCCTCTATAAAATGGAGCCTATCAGTATGCACACGAGACCCTACCCATCCCCGAGGAGCAGGCAATTGGTTGCTGCCAGAAGCAGAGGAGTCATTTTTGAGGGGGTAGATGCTGGTAGATTGCTCATTCCCAGCTCTGGGAAGTGATCCCCCAACTATTTGCATGTACACAGGACTAACTGGACTCAGTGGATTATAAAGAAGAGGAGGAAGGAACAATAAAGATGGAAAGAGGAAAAATTTGGGGGATTCAAATGGAGTGGAATGGGGGTATTTGGGTTGGACATGATCAAGACACATTGTGTGGTAGTTTGAAAGAAAATGGCCCCCAAAGGAAGTGGCACTATTAGGAGGTGGGGCCTTGTTGGAGGAAATATGTCACTGCAAAGTCAGGCTTTGAGGTCTCTTTTGTTCAAGCTTCTCTCAGAATGACACAGTCAGCTTCCTGTTGCCTGCAGGATGTAGCCCTCTCAACTCCAGCACCATATCTGCCTGCACACTGCCATGCTCCCCATCAGAGGACAGAACCTCTGAAACTGTAAGCAAGCCATCCCAATTAAATGGTTTCTTTATAAGAGCTGGCATGGTCATGGTGTCTCTTCATGTATACATATACACATATATACATATATAAAATTGTCAAATAATACAAAATATTCTTTGAGTAAAAAGAAATCCAAGGTTTATACCCTGAGGCAGTAGAACACTGCTATAAGGGGTACATATGAAGAAGCAAGCCATGCTCAGAAAATTTGACATTGTTAAGATGGCAATCTCTTCAAGTTAATGTATAGATCCCATGTCAAATATTAAAGAAACACTGGGAAAGCAAAGCTTTCAAGAATTGCAGGCACAAATGCAAAACATGACTACTCTGGCAAAAGCTGATTGTGATTTTCAACTGTATCCCCCTAATGGTTAATGATGTTAGCCATCGTCACAAAAATTTGTACCTTAATTAGGGACAGAACAATGAAAAAAAAACCAAGATCAACGTGCATGATTTGCTAAAGAGATTAACAGAGAGTCAACATAATTGTAGAGGCCCTTAGGGTATTTCAAAAACCTCAGAGTCAACACTCCTGTAACAAGCTCAAAGACAAAGATTGCCAAATCCATGCCAGGGATCATGCCCAGGGCACTCTCCCTGGGATCAGTGCTCAAAGCTACCTCAGGATTCCATTCCCTCTTTTCACCAACAAAGGGTTCCACAGCAATTGAAGCTGTGGTTCAAACAGGCCCAGGTTAGTGGCCTTTGCTGGTGACTATATTGTACCAGGCCACCAACCAGTTTCCAATTCATGACCTGGAGACTTATTAGTTTTGAATGCTCAGCCTTATCTTAGTTCTTATGTTAATCTGCTTTTCTTTATATAGATTTTGCCGAGGGCTTTTTTCCTTCCTTCCTTCCTTCCTTCCTTCCTTCCTTCCTTCCTCCCTCCCTCCCTCTCTCTCTCTCTCTTTCTCTCTCTCGCTCTCTCTCTCTCTCTTTCTCTCTCTCGCTCTCTCTCTCTCTCTTTCTCTCTCTCGCTCTCTCTCTCTCTCTCTCTCTCTCTCTCTGTCCTACTTTCCTGCTTCTCATGTCCGGCTGGAATCATATGTGTGAATGCAGCATATGTATGTACAGATATATCTGCACATACTTGAATGTGA